AATCATGGCTGTCATCCTTCGCAACAATAACACTTTTACTAATGTCTTGTGTTGGTTGCAATAAATGGCCTCCAATTTGATCGTGATCACCTTAAAACACCCATCATGTCTTTTTAATCTGTTTTTTCCAAAATGTTTCTATTTAAAAAATTGTTCTCAATAAACATCAGTAATTGGATAATATTTTTTTCCCTATTAGTTTTCCATAAAGATTTAAAAATTTTATCAAAATATTTGTTTCTAGAAATAGTACTGTCTTGAGTTGGTTGAATTATTACAAAAACATGACCCCGGATCGATTCTCGTGATTTGATGTTTATTGCTTGCAATATATCTGTGTAGTTTTTTTCCTTGTTCACAGGTTTGTCTTGTGTATATAATGCGTAATAAAGTCCTATTACACTTACTATTACACTATAAAACTACACCGAATAAGTGAATCTCTAAACTAATTTTTGGATTGATAAAGAAACGGGGAAAACCCTTGTCAAAACATTACTAGATATAAAGATCTAAGTAATTCGTATTCCATAAAATTGTCATGTTTTATATATGACGTGAGAGAGTGAGTGACAGAAATGGGATCCACTCAACACAAACTAGCTCATTTCTGCACTAACATATGGTTCAATCTTATATTAATAATTAGCCTGCACGTAGGGGTCTTTAACAGTGGGAGGAAACCAGAAGACCTGGAGAAAACCCATGAGGTTGGACAGGCGACCCTACTCCTTGTCACATACAACCGGGGAATCGAAACCATGCCAACTGACCCAATGACAGACCTTATGATAAAGCATCCAACCCCCCTATACATGACGCAACATCTATCAAGATTATATATGAAGCAGCATCTAGGAAGATTAAGAATATACTGTTTCAGTCATTATACCTTTCACTACCTATTGCTTATAAACTTGATAACCCTTCAAAACCTTTTAAAGTATATATCTAATAATTTAAGAAGAGATTAACAAATTTATATACACTTGAAACTTATAAATCATTATTTAACAAACGTCAAACTTTATAGTAAAAGGATAAAATATTATTGACATAGACTCTCTTCGAAGAAGGGCGCCACGTCGGCTATATGATTAATTAAGAGATTGCTCGATAACCTGGAGGTCCTGTGTTTGATCCCTGAGTTTACCGAGAAAGATCACCTGGATTTTCCACCTTGTTAATGGTTACTGCCTGAGGTATTGATATATGGGAGCCATGGTGGCTCAGCGGGTATGACGTTGGCTCACTAAACATGAGGTCGCATGTTCGATCCCTGTGTTGGCCGAGAAAGTTCATCAGGATTTTCCGGCAGGGTTCCACCTTGTTAATGGTGCAGGACAGATGGCTTGGCAAGGGACAACATATAGTAGTTCGGATAGGATAAAAACCGACGTCATATGCACACACTGTTGTACACTTAAAAGATCCCTTGCTAGTTCAAATTCGATGTAAGAATAGGCCGTAGCGCTGCATGGTGTATGTCTGTCTTCATAAGCCCAGACGGAGCAGAACAGTAGGAGCTTAAAACCCCATCAAATAACATTTCATTTCAACAGACAAACCCAATTTATCTGAATGGTCCACATAAAATAAAGTAAATTTTGGGACTAGCATATGATACAATTTTATTTTGACAATTTGCTTGCTTGTAGGCCCTACTGTAGGAAACCAGACTACCCGCAGAAAAGAGAGAAAGAGAGAGAAATCGAGTTTAATGTTCACTCAACACAAACTAGGTCATTTCGGGACTAACACATGGTTCAATTTTATTTCAATAATTCGCTTGCGTGTAGGGGTCTGTAGCAGTGGGAGGAAACCAGAGGACCCGGAGAAAACCCACAAGGTTGGACAGGCGACCCTACTCCTTGTCACGTACAACAAGGGAATCGAAACCCCCTACAGGTGAACCTACTCCTTGTCACATACAGTCTTTGGATCGAAACCATGGCACTTGATCAAATGATACACCTACGTGAAAATCCTCGATGTTGGACAGGTGACCCCACTCTCCTTGTTTAAATATACTCTTCAAAAAAAGTAGGGGATTTTCAGAAACAATACAAAACTGCAGAAATGCACTGCTGTTTTTATTAGAGGTAACCAGTGTATGTTAATAACAGGCCAATTGGCTACACATGAACATAAACAGTTCATATGGGCAGCTTATCTGACGGACCCATTTACTCACAAAGAATTACACCATCAAAAGTGAAAATGGACGTTTTTGATTTTTGTCTTAATAATGAGTAAATTAAATGCTCCACCAATCCTCAGACATTCAGCAATTTGTTGTGGCATCCTCCTAATCAACCGTCTAATCACGATTTGGGGCAATCTGACCCATTCCTCTTGCAGTGCCACGGCCAATTCTTGCAGTGTTGTCGGTTGACGTTGATGTCGACGAACACTGTACGTCTCCCAATCAAATTAAACGTAACACACTAAAGCAAAGATACGCTAAACAGTAAATCTTATGCAAGAACCGATAGGAAAGCAAACATGGATAGGATAAACCAGCAAGCGGCAGTTTTCATCAACCCTTCCTTGAAGTGTCAAATTTGACAATGAACCCCTTCCATGTGTATGGCACTATTGCGTGTCGCATGTGCAGCTCAGTGGTTCTGTTGGGGCGATAAGTTCTTTATCTGTGAACATACTCTCAAAGCATGTCAAGTGTCCATGACTATTTATCATATCACAACCTGCATAGGTATTTGCATTTCAATATCCCCTACTTTTTTTGAAGAGAGCACGTGATAAGGAGTAGAGTCGCCTGTCCAACCTCGTGGGTTTTCTCCGGGTCCTCCGGTTTCCTCCCACTGCTAAAGACCCCTATGCACAAGCGAATTATTGAAATAAAATTAAACCATATGTTAGTCCCGAAATGACCTAGTTTGTGTCGAGTGGACGTTAAACCCCATTTCTCTCTCTCTCTCTTTTTTTGAAGAGTATATATACATACCACTAGACTCAATGACAACTTATGATCAAAGGCACATGCATTAAACCATCCTGCCAGCCAACCCCCTCATATCAACAGAATGTATTTTATAGTATTTATTGTATACAGGAATCGAGTGAAGGTTAATAAACACTATAATGACTAGTGGTACGTCAGTTGTTAATGTAAATTATACACACTTCAGATCACTTTAGCTCACTTTAGACAGAATTAAACTTCAACCCCGCCTCGCTACATCGCTAATTACCAACTTCATTCCTTTATTTGCATGCCTTTTAAAATACAGTACATTTACCTTTCACTAATAACTATGAATGGCTTTTTACTTTAGTAGTATTTACATAGATTTCCAGAAGGCCATTTTAACGTAGGATATTGGCATGCAATTTTATATTCTTTTTAAAGCTCTTACTTAAAGCACTTTGGAGAAGAAACTCTATATAAATGTTTTGTATTAATCGAGATAATAATGACAGTTATCAAAGAACAATAACAGGGACTCCTTTATTTTTTATAGAATAGATAAAATGGGCAATTAGACCAATTATCCCTACTTAGCAGTTACCAGTACTAGTTTTATTTGTATTGAACTCTTCAAACTGATTAATCTGGCTTGTGAAGTTCTATAATATACTATGTTGGGAACCTGCTAGAATTTCACCCTGGTTTGGGTGTTGGCGGGGTTACCGGGGTCTGGCGTTTTACCGGGGTTTCCATGTTTGCCTTATACCAGGGTTTGTGTATAACCTAGAAAAACGGGCTGGAAATTAAGGCCAGGTGTCCCAATGTGCCAAAACCTAATTAGAGAGGTATATTTCTAGAGTGTAGATAATAATATAGATAGTCCAAGTCAAAGATCTGTTAGAATGATAAAGGAGAAAGGAAAAGAAAAGAAAAAGAACTGGAAGATTATGGAGATTTAATATTGTAAACTAAGCCAGAAATAATTGATGAATTGAATAAATCTGTTTCTAAAAGCTGACATTTTAGTAGTGGGTCCTGCTGGATAGCATCTGCTAGTTGAGTTTGGATCGGGACCCAGAAAAGACGGTCTACGTATGGATCCCGTTCTCTCCAGATGTCGCTCCCCCATTCACTTGGGCATTCCCCATTCATTTTCTTTGCTTATGGTAGGAAATGAAATGGTGAAATACAGTTTAGCATCCTACTTTTCAGAATGACTGGGCTAATGGGGATGGGCATACACCCATGAAGGGAATTTTGCCAAAACAGTGGCTTTCTGCCTAATCTTCATCGAATTACAACTGCCGATCTTTATGTACACACCAGCATGTACATGGATCGAACCCCAGACCTACTGGTTGTTGAACCAGCACCTTCCAAATGAAACCACCACCACTCCGAGACAGAAATGATGTAGAAAACTGAGAGAGAGAGAGAGAGAGAGAGAGAGTTCAACAAAAACTAGGTCATAGGACTAACATATGTCACAATATTCATATGGATCAAAATAAGGACCGAAACCATTTAAGGGTATTTAATTAAGAGTAATGGATTAGGTACTGAGGAGACAAAAAAAATATCATAAACAATCGATTCAGAGGCTCGCAACTCAATAAGCGAATTGTGAGAAGGTGAATTACGATACATCGATTCAACGATATATCGTGCCCCCACTAGGCACAATCCCTCTAGCGTCTGTCATTTGGTCAGAGTAGAATAAGAACTATAACAAAAAGATAGGAAATCAACTGAAAATAATCCTGCAATCTTGTTCATGACAAAGCAGGGAATCATCATTTGAGGGATGTTGAATTCCTTGAAAACTATAATATTGTCAAAGTTGGATAAGCCCAAAACATCTTTCAATTCTGTTCAGTATTTACGAAGATACAAGAACATGGAATATAATTACAGTTTAATATTGAGCGATGTTTTGACTAGGCTTCTCTAGTCTTTATCAAGCAATGAAATGAAACAGGTTTCAAATCCCTCCATTGACAATTCAAGACTTAAAGTATTCGAGAACAAGGTTGCTGCAGTGTAAAATAGAAATATATGATTTACTTACTTTGATCATGTTACCATCATGTGATTTCTCATTTTTAGCCGCTTCCATCATTTTGAGACCCATCCAGGCTATTTGGTGGGCATGGTAATCACTGGCCTTATGCAAACCACCAGCTACACAATATGCATCTCCGATTGTCTCAATCTGTTTAATAAAATAACAAAACGTATTATACATAGTTTCAATCTGTTAAATAAAATAACAAATAGTCTCAATCTGTTGAATAAAATAACAAAACTTATTATTACATAAACAGTCTCAATCTGTTGAATAAAATAACAAATAGTCTCAATCTGTTGAATAAAATAACAACACTTATTATACATAGTTTCAATATGTTAAATAAAGTTACAAACAGTCTCTATCAATAAAAAACAAAACTTATTAAAGATGTGGATGTTAAACCCTATTTTATTTCATTTCATTTATTTAAAGATGTATTATGTAAGAGCTAAATCTGCCTACTGCTGTTCTTTAAATTATTATTTAAACATTTATTCACTTGACAAGCCATTGGAAGGGCATTGAATCAATTAGATCATTAAAGCTTACAATGGATGTCACTCAATAAAAGGACTGACAGTGGAGATTTTGTTTAATATGACAATAAAACTTAATACCGGTAATTGGCTTTTTGTAGTAAAAATTGAGACACTCATAACTTTAAGTAATTTGACTGAAATTTTCAATACTCTTAAAGGCTCAATACCACTCTTGTTGTAACTGAATAATATGTCTCAATCTTTATTCTGGTCAACAAATTGTACTATTTTACAATATTTCAATTAATTGATGATACAAATTTCATCTTAACTCACCTTATTTAAAAATTTTGAAAAATTCAACATATTGGTTTGAACGTCTAACGTAAACCTTTTCAAATGAAACTTCGATTTAAAAATATTTTCGAACCCTCTGGACAAATAAAATAGGATGTAATGGATAATTTACACAACAGGTAGGACACTTAAACATCTAGTACTTAGATAGAGATATTATTTATTTTCTGGAGCTTTCAAGCCAGCAAGAGTGTTATTGTCCCTTTAAGTCTGTCCTTGAGCCAAGTGGTTTTGATTTCCAGATTGTACATGAGACACTCTCTCTCTCTCTCTCTCTCTCTCTCTCTCTCTCATATTGTCTGTCATTGAGTCAACTTGAGTCATTTGACCAGTGGATACGACTGATCAATTGAGTCTGATTTTGAGTCAGCTCTTGCTACACATTGACAGTTCATTGTCCGCATGCACATGCCCAGACAAATGACCTAATTCATAGCATTGTCTTTAAACATGAATCTTTATTAATTAAAGCAATTTAAATGTTTCTATTATATGATTTACAATGGTTCTCTAATTGTCTGTAACAGTTTATTCCTTGCTCGACATCAAACAAGCCTTTCATGTTTATTTCTTGAAGGATTTTTTTTGTGTTTTGTTAGTCTGTTGAGAAACGAACGGAACCCAGTTTAAAGTCCCACAAGTAACACCAGCATTCGTCAGAGTTTTATAAATATCCATAATACATTTTAAATAATATATTAATTCAAATGAAATGAAATGGGATTTAATGTTCTACTCCGACTGGGCTAATAAAGGCGGGCATTGGTATACGCCATACAGTGTACTATGAGGGAAATTTACTCGGATAGAGGCACTACGGCCTACTCTTATATTGAATTCCTGCCAAGGGATCTTTTATGTGCACACCAATGTGTACACAGGACCTCGGTTTTTCATCCCATCCAAATGACTATACGTTGTCCCTTGCCAGTCCCACTGACAAGGGGGAACCCTGCCAGAAAATCCTGGTGAACTTTCTCGGCCAATCTCCAGTTTAGCGAGCCAACGTCATACCTGCTAAGCCACCGTGGATCCCATATACCTCAAGCCATACAAAAAAATATATTATTCTGGCTCCAGTTTCACAAAGCATTCTCAACTTTAAGAATTTACTGAACTTTCAATCACTGTTAAGAGAAATATCTTTGATCCAGAAACACAAATATTTTCTTCTTATTGATGTATTGATACTTTAAAACAACAAACGTTTTATAAAGGGCTATAATATTTTAGTTAAAATAAGGCGAATAAGTTGAGTTAAATCTTAACTTAAGTCTGAGACTGTTTTGTGAAACCTGGGGCCTGGTTCACAGACTATATTCCTTCAAAAAATATCTGATGTGGGAAGGAGGTTTTAATGAATCACTAGAAGGCTAAATGACTTCTCATAAACATCACATTTCAGGCCACTACAATTATATTATCATGTTATAGTAATGCATGATTATCCAGTATCATTTATGATAAAAACATTTCAGGCCTCTACAATTAATGAATGATTATCCAGTATCACTTATGATAAAAACATTTATTTATCAGTGTTGTATATTTGATAAATGAATATATGGTACATTTCCGGTTTCATTCAAATTTCATTCAAGTTGCTTCCTGTAAATTAGGGGGGAAATATCTACGTGCAATAATTAATGAGATTTTTTTATTCCTTATTTTTCAAAATAAAATCAGATCATGTGGCCCTTTTTAAGTAACGGAGGATTATCAGAGAACCCGAATATTTTTTTGTATGGCCTAATACAAAAATATAGGGAAAGTTTATTAGTACTTCCAATAATATATAGGAGAGTTTTTGGTCATATATCAAATGAACCCCAATAACCTTTGGGTACCTGTGTTCAGCAAACATTGATTTATTGGGCGGTTAGAGAGTTAAACAAATTAACTGATCATAAATAATAGAGTTATTTAATTAAATGTGAGATAATCTAACAAGGAAGTCATACCCATGTAATAACCTTACAGTCATTGAAACATATATTTCTTAAAGAATCTATGGTAATAAATATCTATTCTTTGGAACCTTAAAGATGGGTTATGTAAGAGTAAAATCTGCCATTGTGGGTCTTTATTTTGGCTTCAAAAGTTATAAAAGAAATGAAATGGAGTTTGACGTCCTACTGTTCAGCTATGACTGGGCTAATGAAGACAGGCATATGCCATACAGTGTGCTATGAGAGAAATTTTGTCCGGATAGCGGCACTAGAGCCTACTCTTATATCGAATTCCAAATGCCTGCCAAAGCGTATACCATGGGACCTCGGTTTTCATCCCATCTGACCGACTAGACAGCTGTACTTTTCAGGCCCTCCTTCCTGCACCACTAACAAGGGAAACCATGCCGGAAAATCCTGATGAACTTTCTCGGCCAACACCAGGAGCGAACCTGCGACCTCCAGGCTAGCGAGCCAATGTCTTACTCACTTAGCCACTGTGGTTCCTTTTCAAAGGTTATATAAACTATTTGACATGACATGCCTACAATCAACTTCCTACACCATTGGATGGCGGAGATGGAAATGAATTAAAACACCAACAAGATTAAAAAATTTAATGATAAAATGAATTGGGAATGAGCCTTGATGGTCAACTACTGTTGTTACGAATATAAAAAAACAATCTAACGGCCTACTGTTTGCACTGGCTGGGCTAATGATGACAGACATACACTATACAGAGTGCTAGCTATGATGAAAATTCTGCACAGACAGCAGCACTCCTGGCTACTCTTATTTATTATTTTCATCCCATCCCAGTCCCACAACTTTGACAAACTGGAACCACACTGAAAAATCTTCAGTGAGCTACCGTGACTCAAGGCATACCTGGACAGTAAATATAAGTTGCTTACCTTATAAACATCAATGATGCCACACGATGTATCAAAATGTGTGTAGAGTGAGTTGAGCATGTTGACAACCTGCATGGGTGTACATGTGGCACAGATAGCCGTAAATCCAACAATATCACTAAATAACATTGTCACATCATCAACTTTCATCGGCTCAACGGCTTCATCTGGAAAAAATATGTCCAAAAAACTGTATTCATATATTACAGCTTATCACGAGGTAATATGTCTACTTAAATTTGTCATTTTGGTAAAACATGTGGTAGATTTTTATTTTTACAATTTGCTGGTGTTTAGGGGTTTCTATAAGTGGGAGGAAACAGGTGGGCCCAGAGAATAACTACAACGTTAGGCAGGCAAAACTATTCTGTGTAACGTGCAAGCGTGGGTTTGAAACAATGCCATTCGATTCAATGCTAGATGTTACAATATTAGAAGAACTACTCAGCTACCCAACCTCCTAGCTCCAAACAAAAGTGATATTGCACGCCCTGCCTCATGAAAAACACCTTCCATTAAATATATTTAACATGGATTCTGATTAATTGAGGCCCTAATTACCGGGTAAGCACTTAGAAGATTTTTGTGCACCCATATATACTTTAGTATGCAATTCAAAATGTAAACATTTATAAACCATAAACAATCCATTAAGCACATGGTTAAAGTTATTCTGAGGTTTTATGCACATCATTATTATATATATTGAGACAAAGAAGAGAACAGTAGGAAAAGACAAAAAACAATGTAAAATCAATTAAAAGACCATAAAATCTAAATAAGATATTTTTAATTGGTCATCTTACAGAACAAAAATTCTGTTGTGCCACTCTTCTCATGATGTCCAAAGCATGTGTTTATTTACTTAATGGTTAATCCAGCCTTGGCTTCTTGATCATACATGCTAAATTGGAGATTGAAATATCTCGGGAATCGTACAAAAATTAATGAGATCTCTTGAACTACCAAATGCCCCTTATTCTCAAATCTGTGTGAGAACCATTATGAGAATTCTTTTTATAAAGAAATGTGTGCTTTTAAATATTCAGATAAACATATGTATCATACCCAATCTGGTTAAAACACAGATCCTATTTCGTTTCGTTTTTATAGTTCAAAATTTCGTTTTACTTGTCTTTACTACACTTGGATCTGGAAGAGTTGTTATTTAACTTGTGTTCTGAATAGTGTCAGGGATAAGCCAATCAATCGGTCTGTTACGGCGAGCTTTGGGCGTGTTAGTAACACCAATGCTGATTGGTTAATCAAATGTCTGACGTCATAGGGTCATAAGTCGGTCTTTTGACCCCTGACGTGACCTATCGCTATAACTTGTCAGATCTTCATGTAGTGTAGGCCATCGAAAGTATAAAAAAACGAAACGAAATATAGATCTGTATTTTAATCAGATTGTATCATACCGAACTTGTATTTGTAAATAAAAAGATATTTTTTAAAAAGATGCTCATGTATACCAAGTAATAAAAACGTACATCTAAACATCTATAAAATATTGGATATATCTGGACGTGTTTTGTGCTCACAGCAGATGAAAATTAACAACTAGTGACAGGAATGATGACTTTATTTCTAAAACTTGTATTTTTATCTAAAAATGACTTTAAAATTAAACTCTACCAGTGTAAACATAATTATAAAAAATCAAATATTGTTTTTGTATTTGCTTGAATGGTCACACAAGAAATTAATTTTGGGAAGACAGTGTTTGCATTATCAGAGTATTATGGGTTTATTAACGGTATCAATATCAGCATAACAGTGAAATCACCAGTAGCTCTAGACTATATTAAATCGTGTCCATTCACTTAATGCCAGAGGCAATGCGTATTCAAATAACCAGAATGTTATTTCAATACGTAGCAATTCGTACTCCACAAGTTCTGGAATTTGATACCGTTTTTTTAACCGCAAATGTGAATCTGGCACAGTAGGGTAATCTGTAATCACTGTTGATACAAAAAATAAAACCTAACATGGCTGCTATTTTGTGTTTACAGACGACAAGAGCTAAACCAATATGGGGGGGAATGATCGTAGATGTCCGCGCTAAATTCTACTAATGGACATATTCATTTTGGTCTCTCAAAGACTCAATGATGGGGAGTTACAACAAATATTGAATCTGTCTCTTAGTAGAAGATCACCGCCTGTAGGAAAAAAACCTGTTAAGGTTACCCAGTTACTTGTCACAGTGCGAAATATTGATAAATGACGTAATTAGGTTGGGTTATTGGATTCAGATAAATAGGTTCATTGAATTGTTTTTGAGTTCCATTCACCGTTTTCTAGAAGGGTATTAAGAAGAGATATTGTTAAAGATACGCGCTCCAGATCGCGCGATGAGCATCTTTCTGAAAGAGTATTTGATGCCGTTAAGAACGATCTATAGACGAGATGTTAAAAGCTTTTACATTGAGAATGAGAGAAGATATATCGTATGGACATTTCCAGATAAAGGTGATTGCGAGGTTGCATGTATTTGAAGGATTGGTATACAAGTATTCTATATACAGATATTGAATGATATATGTCTAGCAGCTATATATATACAACCACCACCCCCAATGGCCATATTGTTTAATATCACAGGGATCAGAAATCAATGACTTAAGACATAAGTACTCCTTGGATATCACACCAAAATCAGTTTTATCATGTAGGCTAATGTTAACAAATTATTTCTCTTAAACAGCAAAAGCACCACCATTTCTTTTAAAACACCACAAAATAGTTCTATCACATAATGTGAAAACCAGCATTTCTTCTAGAACACCAAAAACAGTATCATATTCAAAACACCAAAAAAACACCCCAAAACAATTTAATATAATGCACTGTAAAAACATAATTTAAAAAAAACCAAACACCTAAACACTTTAAAAACTTCATTTCTTTTAAAACACCCAAAACAGTTTTATTATGTAGTGTAAAAACAGTATTTGTCTTAAAACACCAAAAAACCATCAAAAACAGAAAGAAAGAAATGGGGTTTAAAGTCCAATCGACATAGACTACGCAATTTTACGACACAACATGGTTAATTTTATTTCCATAATTCTATTAGGGATCTTTAGCAATGGGAGGGAATTGGACAGGCAACACTACACCTTGTCATGCCACTTGACTCAGTCACCAACATTATGATCCAACGTGCACCCCTGTGCACCCCCTAACAACCTCCCAATCCCCCACCCCCATTTGACAAGAATAAAAATAATATTTTATTTAAAACCTGTGATTATTATCTGAATTTTTCGGATGATGTCTAATTTTTCACAGCTTAGCACCTGACCATGCTAAGAATGCATTATGTTGCTTAAAGATGTATTATGTTAGATAAACAGATGACAGTTCACGCTATAATAGTTTAAAAATAGGTAATGAAAAATCAATATATTGAAAATTTCAGTCCAATTACTTAATCATGAGCAAAGTTACCCCTGTTTGAAGTTTTGATATGAATAGCTACCATTGTTATGATAAACAGAGTTTCAATTATCCACTTTTAAATCAAAATATCAAATGGCAATCAAGTTTCAATCTGTTAAAAATCCCAACCATCTGATGACCTGGAGAGTTGATTATGGGTTTGTCATGTGAATAAGTGTCTAATAATCAATATAACATTTGAGATCAAAAGAAAGATAGACAATAGGCAGATTAAGATCTTACATAATGCATCTTGAAGCATTTACTTGTGAATTATTTGTGTCTTAGTTGCGGCTTAAAAATCGTGAGCTTCAAAGTGGGTAGATTTTTCTCAAGTTAAACAACAGTATTAGCGAGTCTTGATTTATGCTACTGGCATTTCCCTTACGATAATTGCAAAAAAAAAAATAACAAGCAACAACTTCATTCAAGTCATATTTCATTATAAGTTGCTTATGAATACAAAATATGGATTCGACCTGGTTTTATATTTTGATTAAGTCATTCTAATTTTCTAACCACTGACAAAAGGGTTTTATGCCAATAGCATACTAATTATTGCAAAACATGACTGAATCATAAATGAAATGAAATGGGGTTTAATAACCTACTTTTATGCAATAATCAGTCTAATGAACATAGAAGCTTTCCATGCAGTGCTGCAGCCTATTCTTTATTTCGAATTCCATCTTCAAGGGTTCTCTTACATACATGCCAATGTGTACACATGCAGCTTGTTATGTTGTTCCATAAAGGTTTTTTTTGCATGTACAAGACCTCTACAGTTTTGATCAATTTACAGTAATGTTGGCAAAGAAATGTTTACAAAATGGTAAATATACGATTTCATTTTTAAAGCTATGAAACTCATATTACTTATCTTGGTCATCATATTCCTTATTTACGACATCTCCTTGACCCCTTGGTCAGATAATCTTTTAATCAACTTATAATCATAATTAAGCAGGCTTAGCAATTTATAGTCTTCTATCTCGCTGTCGATGAAATATGGCATCCACTACAAACCTTTCCATCGACTATTAATTATCGGCAAATAATTTATGGGATTTACTGGGACTTGATTTATTAAATGAAGTAGAATTCAGGAGCATAATTATGATATAAATGTCCAAATCAAATCACAAGTCCAACGTCAATGTCTTAATGAAATCCGGTCAACGTCTTCATGAAATCTGTCTTCAAGTTGATCTAGACTATAATATTTTGGTAATGTTGTGTGCCATTTAAAACAGGATTCAACTGATAAATTGGGGTGTGAAAATAAAATGAAAATATAAATGAAATGAAGAGAAATGGACAAAAGTAAAAAAATAAATGGTGGGAGGAATACAAATAAATGAGGACAGTCTTTGGTTGAAATGTACCTATTTGTCATTTTTTGAGGTAATTACATATATTATCCTCTTCAGATTAGAACATTCAACAGGGGGGGTTGGATGGCTGAATGGTTAGTGTGCGGGCGTCGTATCATAGAGTCTGTCATTGAGTCGACTGGCGTGGTTTCGAATCCCCGGTTGTACGTGGCAAGGAGTAGGATCGCCTGTCCAACCTCGTGGGTTTTCTTCGGGGCCTCCGGTTTCCTCCCACTGCTAAAGACCCCTACGCGCAAGCGAATTATGTAAATAAAAATTAAACCATGTGTTGGTCCCGGAATGACCTGGTTTGTGTCGAGTGGACGTTAAACCCCATTTCTCTC